TGATTTGTGATGAGTGCTGTGGCAATAGCTTTAGCTCCATCATCTGATATTTGGTTGTATCCTAAGTCAAGTGTTGTTAATGTCTGATTTGTGATGAGTGCTGTGGCAATAGCTTTAGCTCCATCATCCGATATTTGGTTGAATCGTAAGTCAAGTGTTGTTACTATTTGATTTGTCATGAGTGCTGTGGCAATAGCTTTACCTCCGTCAGCTAGTATTTGGTTGTATCCTAAGTCAAGTATCGGCTGCTTTGTATATGGTTTATTATCAATTTTAATTAGGATATTACCCTGATCAGTTAACAGCTTTTGTGCAAATTTCGGTTCATTGAACATTGCATCACACTTCGGAATATCCAAGCATACTGTTAAATACTGTTTCGTTGCTAAATGTTTTTCAATCAATCCTATTATGTATAGTGAGGCTTTTTTTGATCCGAGTACTGGTGATACTTTGATGTTACTCAATTCCAACTCTTTAATAAATGAACGGCTGATCGTTTCCAGCAAAGTAACAAAGTCTTTTTCACGCATCTCGTACGAAATAAAGGATAATTTATACATGTTGAAACCTTTGCGAAGTAATTCGCAGAACGCTTTTATATTTATTGCTTTGTTAACAACTGCTTGATCCTGTTGTTGGTCAAATTCACCTCCCATAGCTTCAAACAATCTTACAAACTCCTCCATGCGTGTTTTACTGTAGTTTTCGTTAAAATGTTTTATACACACCCATCTTACGTGTCCTTCATCAGTTGTTGTTCGATACAAATTACCCAATGTTTGACCATCATCTGTTTTCTTCAAGAACTTTTCTAACTGTCTTAAATCGGCCCCTTCATATGCTTGACAAGAAGTTGGATTTAGAGTTATATTAGTTGTTTTAGCCATAACATTATTCACAACGTTGTCGACAGTATTCATTTTATCGGCGAAATCTTTCCAAAATTTTCCATCTTTGAGTATATTCGGTATAGGTATTTGTTGAGCGAATGCGAAATTGGGAAGAATAAAACCCGCAACAGTACCAAACGCTTTAAAAGCATAAATCATGTTTTTGACGTAAGGGCCATACTTAATGAAAAATTCTCTTGGCTGATTGATTATGTAGCCTTCATGGTAAGCTAAATGCATTTCATCTTTGTTACATTCACAAAGAAAGAATAAACGGTATGTACTATATAGAAGGTTATCTGGGTGCAATAGTGACTTTTTCTCTATCATTACGATGAAGAACCTTGGTACGGTAAATTCAGCTAATTGGTATGCTTGACGAAGTATAACATCTAACCGTGATAATATTTTGCCTTGATTATCAATTATGAGATCAAGTTTCTCTTGTGTTTTGCAATTTGTTGTCACATCAATATCAGATACGTAACAATCAAGTAATTCATCTGGATATGCTTTGAATCTTGGCGGATCTAATTCTATTCCTTTCGAATCTCTTTCACATGTTATTGCATCATTATTGGATCTTATTAAAGCCGTAATACGAGTGGATATTGCGTTATGAATGTCTTCTAGCAGAATGTATTCAACATCATCGATAATCCAAATTGGAAGTCGACGCTTTGTTTCATTATACTGTAATGTCTGATGTCGGTCATTTTGGACTATCGTATCCTAAAATATGCGAAAACAGGCTTAAAGCGAAATTATGTTTGTTGTGAGACACTCGCTTGTGCAGTGTAGTTTTATAAAATAGTCTGCTCCAATAAATCCAACTCTAATAAAGAACGCAAAAACGTTGAACGTCGAATTACTTTGTCATTTTGACTCTAAAAAATTGCAGCAGAAAAGTTATGGAAAGGTATTGTGAGAGAAAAAGGTGTGTGGCAATTTACAGAGCAGTGTCTGGGTTATCCAAATATGAATGAGGAAAATCTTTCTATTTCCAGTCTGTCTGGCCATCTTAGAACAGCCTTTAACTATGGTAATAATTGAAAGATGGGACACAACAACGTTATGTTTTTTATTTTGCTGGGAATAATATCATTTATGTCGTTATGACGGCATGGCTTGATGGTTATGTTGTTCGTCACGTACTTCAAAGGTACTGTGTTTTTTCGGCGCCGGCAAAGTCATGTGATAACCTTGGACAAGTTACTTATGTCTCAGTGCCTCGGATCACCCGTGTGACAGCATACTCACTACGTTGTGACGTACAATACAGCTTCTCCGGTTAGTCCTCGTGGCTTTCCGGAAAGCTTGTACGTGGTTAGTGAAGTATGTATGGAGAGCTCAAGTAATTGGGCGAAAGAACTCTGCATTAGGCTAGCCTTCTGTCCAGAGCTGTGGTTGATAAATAGTAACGAGATGGGTGACCAATTCAGAAGCTTGTCAACTACAGGGAAGATATCGGGCTATTGAAACTGCCATTTGGCAGCACCCTACACCGGTAACGGTAGCCGCAAGGCGGGGTATTCTTCCTTCTTCCATTTATGTCGTTGTTAATGTTACTTCTCCCTAAAATCAAATGGGATGATCGAGAGAGCCCATGATGGTATAAGTGGCAAACTCTGGATAGTTAACTCTGTTCGCAGACTATCTAACTCTCGCAGACTATAGAATCTGTCCTTTCTTTTCGATAAGATTATTACTTCAAGAGAGCAGATGCTCTTTCGAATAGCGCAAGAACAAACTCCAAAATATTTTATGGTATTCTACAGCAGACTGATCGCGGAGACTCTCTTTTAACTTTTGATGGCTGCCCCTCGATTATTGAACATCAACTGTTCCAGACATATTCATTCTAGACATTACTCGACTATTTTATAAAATCCGTTACGTTGGCAGTATAGGTATTACCTGTGGACAAATCGCAGAAATAAATAGACTAGATTACGGATTCAAAGAAAATTGATTTAAATATTAAGTAAACAATCAGAAGACGATAATAACACACCGTCAGTGAAACACATTCTATGTTAGAGAATAGTTTAATGCTTTCGAGAATAAGGGATGAAGATTAATAACAACAATAATACGAAATTGTTATTAAATCTAAAAGTAAGCAAACATTGAATTAAATTCACAGTCTTCGAAAGACGGAAAAATAGAGCAGACAAACAAAGAGGAATTTAATTCTCTACCAAACTGCTTATTAGGTACCAAAATCAGTTAAGATTCCTCTGCATAATATTTAAAGTGTTAGAGTGCCCTAGTGCTTAAAGCTGTACTCTTCGGACTTAAATTTGTTGTAAAGCGTTCCTGATTGTTCAGTTGAAAGTCTGACCAAAAGATGCAAATTCGAAGATCCATAACGCTTCACCAATTTTGAAAAAGTTGTTATTTTCCGTCTCAAGAAACGAGGCCTAAAACTAAATACTAAATACCTTGCTAACTAAGTAAAAATTACACTATCACCAGTATTTTTCCTTTAAATCGCAGATTAAAATCATGAATATGACACAAAAAGATGCAGAGTGCAGAACGAACTACGCTGCCGTTCACATAAAATGATGGTTTCATTGAGACACAACAGGGAAAACATGAAGCTCGAAATGTGGGTAGCAAAACATGTACTTCACAAATAAGCCACCTCTACTAATCAACTTTCTTATGCGCTTTCCTTAGTAGGAGTGCTACTTTAGTTTTACTAATTATTACATTATCCGGTAAAAGTAATAAACGTTTGTTACTTATTACCAGTAAAAAGGTAATAAATCCTGTTGTTTTATTACTTATTACTTCTTTATGTAAAAATTTTTCATCATTTTACTTATTACTTCTTATTACTTTCCTTCTTATCAGTAATAAGTGAAGTAACAAAAGATTATTACTTGAAATAAGTAATAAAGTAAAGTAGAGGTATAGACGTAGAAAAGAGAGTGGTAACATAGATAACTTGTCAAATCAGAAAGTAAAGAGGAAGAGATAAAATGGAGTTCTCCAATTTTTTTAATATTTTTTCGACGTTATGTATATCAGTGGTATAGAATTACACGATACAGATATATAAAGTAAAACAAAGACAGAGACAAATAACTAATATTGCTTTAATGAATAAACTCAATATTATGTCAATATTATGTCAAATATTCATATAACTGCGTATGAAAAGATGTTTTGTTCAGAAGTAAAAATAAGAGATGCATGCTGGAAAATTCCAAATTCTCTTGAAAAAGGTCCTTTTAAAATCGAAGTATCTCAAAAACTAACGTAGAAGATTTGCTTTAACTTTTTCAAAAAATAAAATATATCTGATCAGAAGTTTCGGACGCTAATAAGAGAAAAACCTACCTGTCCTGTCAAATACTTCCCAAAGTTGTCAACATCACATCCAGTGGGTTCGAAAATTGCCGTATTTTCGGTTTTATACAGCTGTATTCCTCAAGAACGAGAAGGAGAAGCATGATACATACTACTCATTCTTTAGAGCTTGTGAAACATACTAGTAGATGTGTCCATCTTAAAATTTAAAATAACATTTTGGACATAGATTATACACGGTAGATAACAGCATTACTCATTTATTCTGATAATGTCATTAGTTACTTAGTGGGTTTTTTCTTCATATCAAGGACAGTATCGTGTCATAATGAAAACTACAGTTATATGTGAGGAAGTAGTTAAATATAGTAATCACCAAAAATAAAAATAAAGCTAATATATTCTCAAACAGGAATAATTCCATCGGTGCTTTCATAAAAAGCTTTCTTTAATAATAAAAGGTTTCATCCGTTATACAGCATTTTCATATGTTAAATAATCTTTGAAAAACTTCTTAAAATTTAATGTGATCCTTGAAATAGTAGATAACTATAATCAAATGAGGGTCATCACTTCACCTTACTAGAGAATTCTGGACTTGGTCCTCGCATGGGAAAATGCAACGAATTTTTGGAATCGGATACATTTTTCTGTAATCCATATGTTTATTCAGTTATCTAACCGCTCCTAAAAATTCCTTTTATTCTGCCGTGCGGGGACCTACTGCGAACCGATTTTCTAGATCATTTTTGAAAAGCAGATGTAACGGAGCTTTTATTAAGGCCTCCCCCGACAGATTTCTGATATTTTTCTTTTTCAATTAGTGATCAGCGTCAAAAGTCCAAAATTCGAAAAAGTCTCATTAACTTTGGTAAAGATATTTTTCTAATCACAAATCTAGATCGAATATCAAAAATCGGATTCTATTAGGCTCTGGCCACATGTGCCAGCTCCAATTTAAGACCTTCCCGACCTCTGTGCGATGTTTTGCTACCGAGAAATCTTACATCTACGAAATACTGTTAGCTGAAAGTCGCTTTCAAGATATGGTGGCGCCAGTATCTAACGCATGTTTTAAGGCTTCCAGCAAAACTCTCATAACTCTTGACCAGAACATCATTCAGAGATGGAAAATATCTCATTCTGATCAGAAATGTTTGCTCTGTTTTCTGGTGTTGCTAAAAGTGAGGGTCTGGGGGGAGGGCCTTAAAAGACTGATACACAGATGACAAACTCCTTTGCTACCGCGATGCTAACGAACGTTTGCAGTTGCTGAGATATTGAGATTTTAATGCTAGTGAAAGATTATAAATTGTTAGGATCTGATCTTAGTAAGAATCTTAGATACATCTGAACGCTGACCTTCGCCTCATTTTGGGCTGTTTGGGCGAATCACACTATTCGTAAACTGTAAATTACAACTACTTGATATTTTCAAAGACGCAAAACTCCTTTGTGCACCTTGTGAGACCATCGTGAACTCTCCATCTGTCTGGGCTCAGGAGTTTCCTAGAAACTCCTCCACTTCATACGTCTTCCCAGAACTTTCATCCGATCTGACTAGAAAATTTAGCACAGATAGTTAACCAGGTATCTGACAGGTTAAATTTTTTTCGAAAATCATTGCTCAAAATTGTTCAAAAGTTATATCAAAATCGCTCAAAATCCTTTTGAAATCTTGGTTTTCGCTCGGAGGATCATTACAGCCCGCAACAGAAATATTTCTATTCTACTGTTTTGAATACCTCGTAGATTTTTCTGTCCAATGAGGTGCATATCGCCATTTTATGAGGAAACTTGATAATAGGGTTTCTGGAAAACCTGAAGGCTAGAAAACGAAGTCTTTGGTTTTTGATCAGAACATTTTGCAAACGATACAGCCTGATAGAACAAATTATTCTGAGCAAAATAACATATCTCTTAGCTATCTGCAACGCTATTAGGTGTAGTAAATGTATCGTGTACAGAGATACCCAAGCGTCAAAAAAGAATCTAGTATCGCCCGATTCATCTAGATTACTAGATTTTTACTCGATTGCAACTACTGTGCAACGACAGTGGAAATCTAGCAATTGGGCGATTACTAGATTTTTTTCTAGTTGACACTATCGATTTATCGCCCGATAATCGATCGATTTAACTATTGCTAGATGCACCTGCAGACGCATCTAGTTAAAAGTCCCTTTTCCAACTAGTAATCTAGATGGCAACTAGTCGTGTATCGCTCGATTACAGACGAAATTTATCTAGATTTTTTCCATAGGTGATATTTGCTTGGGTATATCAGTTTGATTGATTGATTTTTATTTTGACAACAGCAGTTTTGTACAGAGAAGAGTAAAAACTTTATTTTTACAATACAAAAGCCTAAGTTACACATACACATGTTGTCAGGAAAGGAAAAAAGGTGTAAACACCTATAAAAATTGCCACCTTTTTATCCTACGTTTTCCCTTTTATAGCTGTAGGTACTACCTCAGTTTAAGAAATTAGTTGGTACAGCAGTTGAAAATATATAATGAATTAGATAGTACCATACTGCTACGAAGTACATGATTAGATTTTAGTTAAATCCACAGTAATTCTATCTCAAGCTTTCGACGAGTAACACTCGGCATCATCAGGAGAACGAATAACAGCATCTGTTCTTTTCCCCGTTTCTCGTTTTTCATGTTTATATATATACATGTAGTTTCTGTGTTCTTTGTTATTCGTTCTCCTGATGATGCCGAGTGTTACTTGTCGAAAGCTTGAGACAGAATTACTGTGAATTTAAATAAAATCTAATCATGTACTTCGTAGCAGTATGGGTGTTATTTTTTCAACGATTCGACAAAGTGAAAAGTTATCGATTAAGTTACAGAAATGTAAGT